GTCACAACTTTTCTTTGAGTCCTGGAGCCCGTGGTGGTACTCTGGGATGCTGAGTCTAGCTATACTGCCCACCTACATGCTGTTGTCTCTTGACACTTATGAAGCTGGAGTCTTGAAATTGGCTTCTTCATGACCATGTGCCTATGTTCAAGTTCTCTTGAGGCAGAGCTAGAGATGGGGTATTGTGTGTGTGCTCACCAAGGTGGCTCCCAGGGGAGATCTGGAAGGGGGAGGGAAAGAGGATAAGGCAGAAGAGGATGTTGGCCTGACCCTCAGGGAGCTCTGGAGTATGAATCACCCTGCACAGAGGTAGCAGCCTGGAATGTGCCCTCATTGGACATCACTGGCTGTGGCCCACCCCAAGGGAAATGGCATTATAAATGTGTACTAGTAACCTAATGCTGTGTAACAAACTGTCACAAACTTAGCAACTTGCAATAACACACATTTGTTATTTTGGGTTAGAAATTTGGGGATGACTTAGCTGCATCCTCTGCTGGGGGGCTCAGAAAAGGTTGAAACCTTGGTTTCTAGAACTCAGGGTGATTGCAAGTCTCAAAGCTCATAGAGTTGTTGGCAAAATTCAGATCCTTCTGGCTACAATACTGAGGTATCTTCTTCTGGTTGTCAGAGACTGCTCTCACCCTGAGAGGGCCCCACATTTCCTAACCATGTGGCCCCCCCACAGTATGGCAGCTCACTTCATCAAAGCCAGATCTTAGTCTGTTTGGCCTGCTGTGTACAAAATGCTATACACTAAGTGTGAAGCTTAAACCACAGAAGTTCTGGGGGTTTGGAAGTCCAAGGTCAAAGTACAAGCAGATTCTGTATTTGGGGAGAGCCCACTTCCTGGTCATAGATAGTGGCTTCTCTCTGTCTCCTCGCATGGTGGGTGGTGAGAGATCTGTCTATGGCCTCTTTTTTAAGGACATTGATCCTGTTTATGCAGGCTCCTCCCCTCTGACCTAATAACCTTCTAAAATCCCCTTCTAAAACTATCACCTTGGGGTTATGATTTCAACAATGAATTTCTAGGGGAAAAAATATTTAGACCATGGAAAGCAGCAAGATAATCTCTCCCTGCAGTCTCCTAGAACAGAGTCTTATGTAACAAAAAGTTATCCCCGGGTGACTTCTCACCACCTAATCATAGCCTGATCCAGGCTGGCACCTATCACCTTTGTCATACTCTACTGGCTGCAATCAAGGCTCCAGCTCCACTTGCACTGAAGGGGAGGGGATAATACAAGGGTCTGACTCTGTTGTGATGCAGAAGGGAGCTGCACCACAGCAGACTGAGAATTCCCCAACAGGGACTTTCCCAGCCACCAGAGGTCCAGGAGCAGAGAGAGGAATTATGTGAGAAATTCACACACAGAATGTTCAGTGAAATAATCTGTGGAGGCCCAGAGAGATGAACACTGTATCAGCCTGTAGTGAGGCAGAGAGGTGCTGCCTGGAACCAACATCTCAGGAGGCTTTTATTAGAATTTTGGGGTGTGTATGTGTATAGAATGAAGAAGTAAAAAGTTAATAGCCTCTTGACTTAATCATGCGGGTAGTCTTTTCATTATGAAAAAGGTCTTCGGGGTGAAGGACAATAAGACACCAAAACATAGAACAATTCTTAAGGGCAGTTACCCAAGCAGGTAACAAATAAAATTGCTTTAAGAAATAAGAGAGGGGCTTGGAGCCTGTAGCTCAGTGGTTAGGGTGCCAGCCACATACACTGGAGCTGGAGGGTTTGAATCCAGCCTGGGCCTGCCAAATAACAATGACAACTACAACCAAAAAATACCCAGGCATTGTGGCAGGCACCTGTAGTCCCAGCTACTTGGGAGACTGAGACAAGAGAATCACTTAAGCCCAAGAGTTTGAGGTTGCTATGAGCTGTGATGCCATGAAACTCTACCAAGGGTGATACAGTGAGACCCTGTCTCAAAAAAAAAAAAAAAAAAAAAAAAGAAAGAAAGAAAGAAATGAGAGAGGAAGGGTTAAAGTTATAGCCTTTGGGCTAGATTGTCTCAGGTTGAGGGTAATTTTTAATTGCCTTCTAACTCCATGAATATCTTGTCTCTGCTCAGCTGCTGATTTCTACCCAGATGTTCCCAAACCAGTTTCCAGTCTGTTTTGTTGAACATTCTGACCCCTCTTACCACCATAGCAGCTGAGCAGGTGGGCTGAGGCCTGGGGCATTCCTGTACTGAGTCTTTTGGAATGTCAGACTACATCATATTTCTACCCAAATGACTCCTCAGGGATCCTCTTAGATTCCACCCACCACACATACCCCATCTCCAGAAGAGGCAGCTCCCAGCATCTGTAGACACTCCCCCCTGGAAGGGCATAGGTGGGGGAGCCCTCATGACTGACCCACCACACCTTCCACACTGTGCTTGCCTGCAGAGAAAAAAGACCAGCCAGAGTAGAATGGACCTCCCACCCACCTCCCAAATAGCAGAGCATAGTACCTGAGTGAGGAAGTCCAATCCCTATTCAGAGCTGTAACTGCAGAGAGCCTAGGAAATGAGTTTTTACCTTTCTAACTTGTGAAGTTCAGAGAAAGATATAGGAAAAAGATGGGAAGAGGTGCTGATGGCCAGTCCCACCTGAGAGTTAAGGGGAAACTGAATGGAGAGGTTCTGTGACCTATGAGGCCCCTCAGATGGCATGTCCAGACCTGGGAGTCTTGATGTTTAGGTCTGTCCTAAATTTCAAGATTTTTTTTTTTTTTCTGGAACAAGGTGGCAGAGAGGAACAGGAAATTTAAGTGAGAATCCCAAATACTGGTGATTAAGTGAGCCATAGAACCAAAATTCTCTCTCGAATTAGCACAAAGGAAGTTTGCCACTAACTGCCATTAGCTTCCAGAAGTTTCCAGAGCCACAGAGAGTGTAGATCATCAATGACTAGTCATAGGTAAGTATTAAAGAGTATGGTTCCTTAGTGAATGGGGGGTTTTATTTCTTTAAATCTAATTCTGAATGGTTTATCATTCATGCCATTTAAATGCAGTCATCCTTTGGCATTTTCTTCCCTTTCACTGTGGCAGATGGGTTCCCAAATCACTCATGGACACCCAAATCCACGCATGCCCCAGTCCCTGATATAAAATGTAGTTTGTATATAACATACACAAGTGCTCCTATATACTTCAAGTCACTCTAGATTACTTATAATACCTACCACTGTGTAGATGCTCTGTAAATAATTGCCACACGGTATCATTTAGGGGATGACAAGTAAAACGTCTGCACATGTTCAGCACAGATGGAATCATCTATATTTTAAAAATATTTTTGAACCATAGCTGGTTAAATTCATGTAATCCATGGATATAGAGATCGCCAATGTGAGGAACATATATGAGGAATATATATTCTTAGCTACCTTGAAAAGACAAAGGTATTTGAAAAAAGAATCTATGAAATGGGAACATGTAAAAAGTGCTTGTCAGTTATTCTCAGTGGGTTGAGCTGTTGGGAGCATGCTGTAATCAAAGTCTGTTTTATTTGCAGCAGACAACATGCCTGGGGGAAATTGTTTCCAGGACTGAGTTTGCAGATGCTAAAGAGGCTGAGGGCAGAGCAGCAAATGTCCCAGTGCCCACAGGGACCCAGTTCTGAGCCTGTGCCGAGGGGTGCCATGTGGGAAGTATGGGTCCACACCCAGAGCCCCTGCTTGGTTCATGGTCACCTGCAGGTGATGGGCAGGGGAACCCACAGTCCAGGCTTCCATCCTTGCTCCTACCTGATGTTCTGCAAGGGACACCCTCTGTGGGGTGAGTGAAGGGCCTGGAGCTACAGAGAGGGGCAGGCATTCTCCCTCAGGGCTTCTCACCTGTCTCTAAACTGGAAAGAGAGAATCCTTGGAAAGGAGTTAATGATGATTCTTAAACTTGGCTTTGGAAGGTTCTCAAAGTCAACAATATCTTTCAGATATCTCTTGCTGTTTCTTAGGAACAGACTCTTTACCTGGTCCACATGATGGAGAGGATGGAGAAGGTTTGAGGTGTCTAAGGCCAGAGTTGCCCTCTGAGCTCTGCTACTAACCTGGGGGTGGGGGAGACAATAATGATGTTCTTTATCCTCTTCGAATAGTGTTTTTCTCATCTGTAAAATGGGACCATAATCTCACCTAACAAAAAGTGGCGTCTATCTGATGTTCATGTAAAAGAGATAATATATACAATAATGTATAAAAAGCGTTTTGAAATGTGCCAAGTTTTGTTGAAACACAAGTTCTTTTTCAAGAGTTTCCCTGAAACTCTGAGTGAGATAATGATGTTCTTTCCCCTTGTCCATGTCCTAGAATGGGACTATTAGCCCCACAATCAGCATCATTATATAGAGAACTTAAAAGAAATGTCATCTCCGTTTTTTTCTCTCCTTTCACTGGCAAACACAGCTTTGGTTAGTGAAAAAGCTGAAGCGATTTCAATTGCTGGTTTTTATATTTGAAAGGGGAGGTTATTAGGAGAAGTCTCAATTCAGAAACTTCAAGAAGAAGTGGGAGGGTGTGGTGAGGGTTGGGGGGGATTACATTTCCTGTTTTCCTTTCAGATGGTGTTGGAAAACATTTCAGGAAAACCATGGATACCTATGAAGAAATTCCAAAATTTATTCTTTTTGCCACCAGGGGCCCAGCCCAAAGGTGACGAGTAGAAGTGGTCAATTTTTTTTTTTTTTTAAGCGTTGGGGTTTGCAGGAGTCCAGCGAAACGCTCGCAGGGTGAAGACGGCGTTTGGAGGGTGACATCAGTCTGCAGCGGGGGCCAGGAGCAACAGCGCGCAGGAGTCTGGTTTTCATTTACAGTTTGGGTCAGTCCCGCAGTGAGGCTGGGGAGGGGAGGGGTCGGGGAGGAAGGGAGGAGGAGCCAAAGAGGGTACGGAGCTCAGGGCAGGAGGAGGAGCAGGAGGAGGAGGAGGAGGAGCTGGAGGAAGCCCTGACTGTATCCCTGGCCCTCGTCCAGCTTGGAGCTCAGTCGTCCACCAAAGGCCGCTCAGTTCTCCTGGGCTCCAGCCTCCTGCGAGGACCTCAAGAGTGTTGCTGGCAGTTCCGAGTCCCTCTCCCTAAGGCTGCAGAAGGAAAAGGAGCCGCAGCCAGTGGGGAAAGCATGCCCCCTGCTCAGACATAGTGCCTCCAGAAGCCCGGGGACAGGAGTCTTCAGGCTCGCTCAGGGTAAGTGCGTGTGGCCTCTGTTTCCTCGAGTTTACGGGCAACAGGGGAGCGCTCCAGACCCGAGGAGGCCGTTTCCTGGGTGGCTGCCGCGGCAGTCACGTTCGCTGTGCTGGTCAGTTTTCTGTGCGCTTCCTAGGTGTCCGGAGAGCGTGCTGGTTCTTCTTTCTCGCCCTGTGGCAGCCAGGTTTCCTTACCTTGGTTGAGGTCGGAGGTTGCCGGAGCGCGTGGCAGCTGCACCCTCGGCGTGCTTCAGCTGGTGATTTATTTGAAGTTGTCCCCTCCTGCTAAAGCGCGGTTGGAATCTGCTTTGTCTGCAGAAGTGTCTTTGCCCAGGATGACCGGGGCCACCTGTAGAGCAGCTCTGTCGTGGGGGGGGCTTTGTCTGAGATCTGAGCGTGGTGACACCGGGTCAGGGAGTGGCCAGTGGGTTTCCTGCCTGGGGCCACCCCTGGGACGGGGCTGGTGGTCTCGTTTCATGCCTTCATGAGACTGGGCTGACTCTGGTGTCCAGGCTCAGGGCCAGGGCCAGGGTCACTGAGTTACTGCCTCAGGTCTTCACCCTCTCAGGAACCTGGAGTCACCTTTGCAGACTTTGTCCCTTGGGGTCACGTAAAGGAACTCTGGGGTCAGAGGAGGAGAAGGGATTGGGCCACTATGGGGGAATGAGGCAGGGTGCCCATGCTGCCCAGAGGTGAGGCTGGTGCCAGGCTGGGAGGCCCCAGGGCTGTTCCCTGTCCCGGAGGACACAGGGCGGGGCTCGGGTCCTCTGTCCCGCAGGGTGGAAAGTGTTCCCTGACAGTTGCCGGCTTGTTTTGGGAAGCCACTGTGAGGGCTCACTGTTAGAAAATAGGCTGGGATGAAAGCAGGGGTGGGGTCTCTGGGGGGGCCAGGTGGACTGGGGCGTGGACAAAGGAAAGCCAGTCTTTACAGCAAGCTCAGAAGCAGACTTAGAGGCTGGCCTGGACCCAAGAACGTCCTCTGTGCTTAGGGGAGGACCCTGCACTCCATGGGGATGTGGGCTGTGCCCATGCTATTCTCTCTCCCCACATGAAGAGAAGCCCAGATAGAAACCATGGGTCCCCAAGCTGTGAGGGTACTGGGGGTTTATGGGAGGAGCTTATCTTTAGCCTGGGAACCCCAACTCCACAGGGGACTCATTTTTAATACTGCAGAAAACTAAACAGAAAGGCCTTTAACGTCAAACTTAGACAACATTATTGGGGCTTCTAGTTGTTTGCTGGGCTAAAGATAATGGAAGAGACTCTTGGTTGGAAGCCACAGAAATATTCATTGCCTCATTTAAAAAATGCGAAATCAGAGGCTCTGACCTGTGAAATTCCTTGTCAAGGCTGTAGAGCTAGTGTCCAGCTGATAGTAAACCCTGGAAGTGTGGGCAGAGCCGTCACACCTGGGCAGGACCCTGCTTCGGGCTCCTAAGGACAGGCCAGAGAGAGGTGAGGCGGCAGCAGGGAGGGGCCCCGGCTGTGTGGCCGGAACCCTGATGCCTCCCTCACTGCAGCCGCCTCCTGGCTGGTTTGGCTGGTCCAGGGCTTGCCGCTGAGGGGGAGGCACAGCCGTGGGAGGTGTGGTTTTACAGAAACCAAGAGACAGGAATTGCCCTGAGTCTGGACCTCATCTTTGTTTAGGGAAAGGGGCAAGGGGGCAAGGGTTTTCCATTACCATGAGGTTTAGTTCTCTCTTTGCCTCACTCAGTAAGCAGACCTGAGTGTTGTTTAGGACTGGGGCGAGTGTGGCTGTCCTGCCCCCTGCCTATCTGGGAGTGGAAGGGTGTGGCCATAGCACCTTTCTGGGAGGTGGCTGGGGAAGCTTCTAGAATGTTAGCCTTTTGCCAGGGCTTTCCTCCCATTTGGGAGGGTGTGTGCCCACCCCTCATGGCTGGCAAATGTCCAAATCTGGGCTCTTAATGATATTTTTAATCTAAGGTAGGCAACTTTCTGAATAAGAACTGTCCTTACTTCTGTACTTCACTTCTGAAGTATCTAGAAATAACTATGCCTCACTCACCTACCAGAGGACCTTTTATGATTTCATGTCTTAGAACTTAACATGTCACTGATGGTAGAGTAGGAAGTAACCCCTGTATTCAATTGATTTTGGGGACAACGGAGGCTTCCCATCCTGACCTTCGTTTTGGGTATGGAGTCTGTTGACCCTGACGCTTAATGCCAGCAACTTGGAATGAGACCCAAGGAAATTAGGGACAAGGTTTTGTCAGTGACTTTTGACTTGTTTCATTGCTCAGAGTATCCAGACAGCTGGGTGAGGTAGAGTCCTTACCAGAATGCTGTGCCACTTCCCACTTTTAGGTGAAATTCCGTGTTTAGGATTTAAAGTTCTCTGACAAGTAGTCATGAATTCTGTTGCAAGAGACTTTCTTGCAGGCACATTGACAACTTTAGCAAAAATTTGCACTTGAAAATTAATCTTTGTCACTGTTCTTTTTAGAAGAAGCTGAGAATTTAGTATCTCTTAGGGATGAATGGCAGGTGGCTCCCCCTCCCCCCAAAGGGGACATTGTGTACCAGGCAGCTTTTTCTGCGCTGACTTTCAGAAGCAAGCCTTTCACGATGTCCTGGCTGTGGCAAGCAGGCAGTAAAAGGCTCACCACTGCCGTGTAAATAGCTGACCATTAGAGGAGAGACCGGACATTTAAAAAATCCTATTAGTAGCTCTAGCTAAGGAAGTGAAAGTTCAGAGCTTCACATTTTAAATTGGGGAGCTTTGAAAGGTTTCTGCTCACTCAGGCCGCCAACTAGACAGAACCAGACAAGGATGGTTCTCTTCATTCCCCCCTTTCTAGATACAGCTTCTCTGTTTTCACCGTAAAAATTCTTCTGGAAGGCAATCCTGCTCTTTAAGGAAGAGATGTTACTTGCCAGGCTGAAACACAGCAATCAATGCTTTACTCTCAGGGAGAACCTACAGACTCTGATTCTGCAAAAAGGGATTTTATTCAGGAATTTATTATGTTAATTTTTGAAAATATAATTTTTAATACATTCTGGTCTCTCGGTCCTATTTTGGGAAGGAGTTAAAATTCTGAGTTAGCACATTTATCCTGGGATTGCTGTTTCTGAAAAGGCTGTTAGGTTTTCTTTCCTCTAGAGGGCAGTATGTCCCTCTGAGCGCCAGAAAAATCCTGAAGCGGTGGCTGGAATCCCTCAGGGTGGGGTTTCAGGGTTCTCAGCCAGTCCGGGACCTACATCTCTGTATAGATAACTTTAGGACTGGCATTTCTATACATTATTATTACTATTTTAAATGTGATTGTGCATAACAACTGAAGTGGACACACATTTACACATTTACATCTTTAGATGCAGAGGCATTCTGCGTTCTAAAGCAATTGCAGTACAAGGGCATTAAACAAATGAGAAATTTTAAAGGAAACAATTTACTCATATCTATTTATGAAAGTTTAAATTAATAGTCAAGGGCTTGGGAACCCGAGCTACTTTGCATATGCACGCTGTGTTATATCCTTGTGGAATTTCTGAATGTTAGAATTGAAAGTGATGCTTAGATGAGCTGACCTTGTACTTCCCATAGTTTTTCTTTCCTGTCCTTTGATATTTTCCCTTCATGGACAACTGGTTTAAAGTATTTTTTAAAGAATTCATGCAAACTATGATTATGAATGTCCCATGTACAACAATTGCTAATAAATAGTATTCCTGACTCTCAGACTTAAGATTGTTAGCCTGCAATAACCATCAGTACCCTAAGGTACAGATGCAGAAGCAGGAAGCCCAAACCTTTGTTTGGTCCTTGTGTCCTCATATTCACTTACACTTAGTGAGACCTATGGAGCTCCCTGGCATGGAGGTTGGCACTGGGGATGAGTAAGACATGGCCTTCGCTCTTTCATTTGGCAAGCAGAATTGGCTATTTGATGTACAAAACAATTATCACCTTGGTGGCTATTTTCCCTGCACCCTTTTTGCTTCAGATGAAGACATGGAGCTTCGGGAGGTAGGACATAGTGGTCAGGACACAGAGCTGGTATTAGAGGCAAACCAACACGTTCTGGGTGTCTGCTACAGCCAATGATTAGACATCTAGGACTTGGTGAATTGAAAGAGGGACAAGCCTTTAAGGGTATATTTTAGGGTACCATGTGGAGAAAGGCACACTAACCATTTAAAGGTCTTCTGTGGAATAGTATCTTTTAAGTTGACTTAGCAGAGGGGTAACTGTTGTGAAAAAAAAATCTGGAAAGAAAAGAGAGAGAAGAAAAATAAGACAAATACGAAAAGTTCTGCCAAACCCTCTCCCAAAGGCAAATTTTTAGCCTTGTAAGGGTCTGGCTGCACTTGGCACTGTATGATCCAGATGTTCTGAAGCTTAAGGCCCACGAGATGCATGGAATCATCTGAGAGTTGGGAGTGGCCAGGGAAAGGTACCATAGGAACTCATAGTTTGATAAAATCCCCCTCCCCCCAGTGTACACCTCACATTCAATTTTCAGGGACCTGGGGTATCAGGAATTGGCCAGTGGAAGGAAAACTTCATGGGCTGATTTAATTTCAAAATTAAAAATTGAACAGCAGCTGGAGATGACTCAGGTCTCATGGGAAACAATTCCAGGAAACTGGTTTTTCACTTCTGGAATCTTCATTAATTGATTCAGCAGCCCTGTGCCGGCACCCAGAGTTAGAGCCAGCTCAGCTAAAGCCACAGATGGCTGGGCCGGTGCACCCATGGCTCTCTGTTTCTAATTGGGACAGCAGAAAAGCCATCACTAGTTAGATCCTGGGCTGGGGGAGCAGATGGAAGCCAGTGGTCACAGGACTGTGGCCTGTTTGAGCAACAGTCAATTATTCTTAGTATACACACAAAAAAAGTGAGACTGGGGAGATTAACTTACAACATAGTAAGGAAGTAGAATTTCACTAGGTTACTATGCCTCATCCAGTGCTGATGACACTGTAGCAGTCTCAACTCAATTTTTGAAAAGGTCTCTATTCTATACATGATTA